TTCGAACGACTTGATTTTGAATGATACGCTTCTTTCTTCCGGCGATTTGAAAAGAAAAATGGCGAATCGGGAGGAGAAAAGAAAGGAAAAAGAAATTCACCCGGACGGGATGAATGTTGTCACACGGTGTCCTGCTCTGGCTCGGGGCTTGGATTTATCATTTATGAGATTCCGTGTTAAATAATCAGACGCCACAAATCTGCTTACCGATCTGTAAATCATTGGGAGATTGGTCGTTGATTGATTTTCGAATATAAACGTGCACGAGTCGGGTTTCTTTAAAAATTCTAAGATATAACTATGGATCATTAGGTCACATATTAATAACCATAATAAATTTAAATTTCATAGTCCAAAATATTAAAGCATAAATAATTTAATTCAAATTGAGAACAGAACATAGATAGATATATTTTTAACCAATTTTATCACTTCATTACAAAAATATATATGAATATACCATCGCACTCACATGGTATATTTTGTGAGTGGGACATGGCTGCATTTTTTGGAGTTCATCAAGTCGGCACAATCATGTGAGAAAATTTTCCAATAGTACAGAGTTTTTTAATAGAGGTTGGAAGTATATACATTTTTGCCAAGAAGATTAATATCATATTTTAAATGCCCTCCTGATTGGACCATTTTGTTTCGCCACAGACAATCGCTTAAATTGAGAAACTCACTTGATTGTTTATGTCATTGTTCATGTCTCGAACAACCTTATTTGGAGTTTTATGTTTGTCATTATTTTTCTTTATCAAATATATCTATGATCTAATATGAATGAAGTTTTGATGTTATGATTTTTAGTTAAAGTTGCTAATTTGTCCATTAGTTTAACAATGTCTAGTTTTCCATTGCATGAATGAAGATTTGATGTTATGATTTCTTAATTAAGGTTACTAATTTGTCCGTTAGTTTAGCAATGTCTAGCTTTCCATTTCATAATATTTGTTTAGTCTCTTCTAATTTTAATTGTCGTGCGCGACGTAGACTCTTTTTTTCTGTTAATTTAACAAATGTGGTGCGGGCTATCAAACTTTCAAGTTAAAAAACGATAATAGGTGTCTTATCCCTAAATTAGGTTATGGTTATCACAATTTTAACATTAGACACAACGTTAGATTTTTTTTTTTTATAATGTCACAAATATGATAGTGTTGATTGAAATCTATGAAGAGACTAATGTCTAACTATTTAATGACTTTTGAAAAAAAAAATGCATTTTGTAAAATTACTAATTTAGAGTTTGTTTGTTATAATTAAAAAAAAATTTACAAACACCTTTGAAATAATTACTAATTTATTGTGAATTTGTTATAGTTATTAAGTGGTGGTAGGTTAACTACTAGTAATTTTGAACCTCGAATCTTTTAAGGAAGAAACATATGTGTTAAGTGTTGATTTGTTGCTCATGCTAGTATAGTTTACMTAGTAATTAATTACTCATAAAGAAATTTGTAGAAATTAAAAGATATATGAAACGTACCCTTAATTACATTCATGCTCATGCTGGTATAGTTTACATAGTTATTGGAATTTTCTTTAGTTTTATTTCTTTGCCCTAAATGGAAATCAATTAAATTCATTCAAAGAAATGATGGAGTGAAATATTTCTCCTAAATATGGAGTTTAGAAAAACCGATGAATTTATTAAAATCCTAGCAAAACATTAGACATAGTGATAATTGATTTTTCCTTTTCCAAATCAAGAGAAACTTCTATTAATAATTTGATTGAAAAAATATTAAGCGCATTTCGTTTTTATTTTTTAATTTTTAATTTAAAAAAATATATTGTTGGATAAACATTTTTGTGGTCTGTTTTTAAAAAACTATTTTAAATTCTTTATCACACTCAAATACTAAAAAAATAATAAAATAAATAGTGGTTAGAAATAGATTTAATTTTTCAAAATAATTTCTTTCCTCGTAAAATAATTTTCTCCCTAAAAAAATTTATTCTCCTAGTCCTCTCTAAAATTTTAATTTCACTTCTATAACATTAATTTTTATTTATCTATTTAAAACATTTATCTCAATATCCTTTTATTTCTCTCTCTTCTATTTTTCACCTTTCTCTTTTGAAAATAAAAATATTTTCTCAAAATTTTATCTCTAAAATTTTATTTTCTTAAAATTTCTTACTCTATTAACATTTTTTTATTTTCTTGATTTATTTTTTCTTCAAAAAAATATATCTCTATAAAACTCCCCCAAGTTTGAGGGGACCGGGATGTAGAATGATTTCCCGCCCCGCCCCTAACCCCGTCCTTGATTTTTTTTTTATTAAATAATTAATATAGATTTTATACTCACTTATTTACTAACTTATGAATTAAAATATTAAATATTTTTAAACTAATTATTTATATTAGTAAATAATATAAATACCAATTTTCATGTAAATTAGATATGATTATTTATATTTACAATTTTTAAAATTTTGTAATTAAAATTAATTACTAAACGAAATTACAAAAATCTTCTCCCCTGTAAGGTGATTCTTCAACCTAAGTCTTATTCCTTAAATTGGAAAATGGAATAACGGGAATTAAAAACTTCCACGAGATCAACGATGAGTATATCTTCCATCTCTTTAACGTCATTTGATCTACTTTACACAGATTTTATCTTTCAAACATATTTATCTCATACACTAACTTAAATTAAAAAATATAAAACATAGAATAAAAATAAGAAACAGATATCAAGTATGTCTTTTACTAAAAAGAAAAAAAAAGAACATGAAACCAAAAATAGAAATGAGGAAAAAGCAAAAACCAAATCAAACGGTCGTAAATGAATACAATTCCACAACTTTGCAAGAGGTCTCAATCACGATAATTTGCCACCCCAAATTTCAACTGCTTTCTATTCCTATCCTATGCTCTTTTCTTTTTCTCTTTTTACTTTTTTATTCTTTAAAAGATAGATAGCTTTTTTTTTTTTTACTGTATTCTTTTTCATCGTGACCAAATTCCAAGGATTGAATTTTAATCTTTATCTTATTTCACAATTAAATCCAAAAAGCTTAAGTTAGTAAAATTGCCATGATAAGTATATCAACCCAATAAATATTTATCAATATAATCATAAAAAAATGACGCTAGAAGAATTTAAAGACAAAATCTGCTCTAATACTATACTAAAGAATAAATAGAGAAAAATATTTATGCATTCCAAATCTAATACCTAAGATACAGGTAAGTTACACATAAAATATCTTAACTAACTAAATAACAATGCTAAAAAAATTAGTTAATTATTGACTATATCTAGTTACTGTTAATTATATATGATATATATGTGGTGGAATTTTTTATATTTTTGACGGAGATATGTGATGGAATTAAGACCATTAAAAATGTATCATTATAGATATCCATGGTATTATTATATATTCAACTCACGGTCACTTTCAGTATTTTTCTTATTGGGCAATATTTTTATAACATTTGGCGGTTTTCTTATTATTTTTTATCTTTTGGCCCTACAAAGAATAGATTGGAAGCCACCTTTATGGACGGATCAATTTGGTGATCAGTGATTGTACAACGGTGAGTCAACTCACTTCCTTAACCGCGTTCCTTGGAAACTCTATATATATATATTATTTAAATTTGTTTAATTAATTAGAAAATAGAATGTGAAAAACGCATATTATTAAACCGCTAAGATGTATGTTAACCAAAAAAATAATAATAAACTGCTAAGATGGAAAAAGGAGGCAATTACTCTTTTGGGTCATCTTAAATTAAGAAAAGTAGACAAAAATATAAATACTTTTCAAAACAATTTCCTAATTTATCTCTTGAAGCTTTTTGAATTGAAAGATCAGGTATAAAAACTTAAAAAGGTAAATCCCTCCCAAAAAAAAATTATAGCTCTAACCTTAATAATGTGCCATTTACAATGTTTCTACAAATACATTATATATTGGAAAAGTTTACCAACTAAATTATGATTTTGAATGAAGAAAGATAATTATACTTCTATCTATTAATCATTACGCTGTTTCATTTAATAAAATCTCATAGGATAGCAATTTTATTTTGAATCATCATAGAATCAGATTGTCTCAAAACAACTTAATTTCCCAACTGAAGACCTACTGAAATCAATGGCTTCATCGAAGAAGTCCTATATCTAATGTGTTGCTCAAAAGTAGAATTTTTTTTTTTTAATTTTATACTTGAAAGGTTATTTTATTATTTGTACATATATTTTTTTGTTTAATTTTAAATTATTTTAAACTACTTTAAAATCTTAGTGAAATTTTTGAAAATATACATTTTTTTAAATTAATTCTTCTAATTTCACTACGATTCTAAAAATGATTTTGATAGTAGAGTATAAACTAAATAA